AAGCCGCCACCTCCACTATTTCCGCCACCGCTGCCGCCGCCAGGACCGAAGCCACCACTACCACCTCCATATTTTGAGCCGCCGCCGCCGCCGCCGTAGGCACTAACAGCGCCCAGCACTGCTAGTGTAACAAAAATTACCTGCAAACACGAAAGAGTATAAATTTTTAGCTTAATTCCCTACAATTTTTTTTATTTACCGTAAATTTATTCATCTTCGTCAGGTTTGCTCGTACCTCTCAGAATATTCGCAGCAAACTGATTGATTGATTTGAAAGTGGCTGGGCTTTTATTGATTGGAAAATGTCGATGTAAGCGAATTTGTGGCGATCACAAAAACTGGTCGTAATCTTAAAATGCATCTTTACTATTTTTTTGTTTATACTCATACATACGTACGTATTTATTTTTTTCCGTTCCTTTTATTGATTGAAATGTTTCAGCAACGTTGGCTTATTGACTTGTGATGTAATTTAATCATTCAATCATCAGTTATGTTTAACTTAGAGTTGTTTTTCTCTTTTTTAGCATACAACAGCAACAGGATGTTTCGAAACTGGACCAATTTAGTATTCTTTTATAATAATATGCATCATCCTGATAACCCGGTGTGTAGCTATCCTAACTTTTTTCGAGAGAAAATTCATTAAAAAACAAATTTCTTCTTCTGCTCATAGAAGTAAGTGTTAAGCACAAGATTCCACATATGCAGGAGGTCTCACGGTAATGAGTTATGAATGTGTACGTACATAGATACACTTGAAATGGTCTGCAGCTAAGAATACTCTAAGATTTGGCCGTCAATGGCAATGGACATGCTTATAGTCGATTTCGGTTGTGGCCAAGAAGTTCACTGCCCGATTGATATGATGCGGACTCTGTGAAGAGATTCCATTCCTCATAAACGCTTCCAAGCTGAACAGCTAAATAGAGTATCCCCTTGCCACTTCCATTAGCACTCGAGTTCCCAACAGAACCACTGTCGAGCACCCGAACAGACTGGACTATAGTGGGTTTCAACTGGCGAGAGAGACGCGCGCAGCTTTGGCCCCATTACGGTCTGTATGCTGTAGCCGCCTCAACTCCTACCTATCCAGACTCGACCACTGTATACCTAATGCGTGCCCAGCATATGGCACGATACCAATCACATATGTATTTACATGTCTACTCAACCCAATTCAACGTAACACCGCTCTGGTCAAATCCTTTCGAAACAGCAAGACAATAATTAAAGTTCTATCCGATCTAGGCAGGGTTAAGTAAGCCGTTACCACAACAAAAACAACATGAAGGCGAAAACTCAGGCGATTACGACGAAATCGATATCCCACCGCCTGATTATGACGTGGTACGAATGGCAATTTCACGGCTGATGAACGACTGTCACTTAACTGTGCTCTGCCCAATCCGCAAGAAAGGCGACCCCGCAATTTCGACAAGTAGCGCGGGATCAGCCTTCTAAGCATTGGCTATAAAGTCTAATCGAGCGTATTGTGTGAGAAGCTAAAGCTTATCCTCAGCGAATTTATTGGACCTTAACAATGTGGCATTAGACCAGGTAACTTTACCATAGTCCAGCTATTCACCTTATGCCAGGTATCGGAAAATGCCTGCGAGAAGAGAATATATTTGTCGGTTTCAATGCCGCTTCGACAGCACTAAAATGAGGTGCCTTTCTGTCGCGGTGTCTGAATGTGGTATCCCAGCGAAACTAATACGGCGATGGGGAACGACATTGAGCAGTACCATCAGCTCCATCGTAATTGGGAAAGGCCTCGCCGCTTGATAGCAGTTGAAGTTTCAGACAAATCGAATGCAATGCAAAATGAACTAACTCCTGCCATCACACAAAAAGCAGAGCTTGCCAGACTCGGCACACACGTTGACTCGTCGGCACACTGTTAAGAGTTATAATTTCGAAAAAGAAGAGGACTTCGTTAATTTAGGATTCAGCCTTAACACCGATGATAAAGCCCGCCTGGCGCCGGAGAATCATTCTTACCAACAAGTGCTACTTTGGACTGAGTAGGCAATTGAGAAGTAAATTCCTCTCTCGACGTATGAAAACCACACTCTATTTATACTCTGTGCTGGCATATGGGACTCTTGAAATTATCGAGGGAAAGATCCTGCAGAAAATCTACGGGCCTTTGCGCGTTGGCGCTAGCGAATACCGTAGCGATTTAAAATACAGCGGCTCCGCTGACTCAATCATATCATGGAAACGGTCCAGCCCTAAAAGTATTCAGCGCGGATCCCATTGGTGATATCAAAGGAAGAGAAAGGCCTCCTATGCGATGGTTAAATGAGGTGTAGAAGGACTTGGGCATTCCCAAAAGGCGTCAGTTGGCCAAGAAAATACCCGATTGGCGTACTTTATATTCAATTAAGTACTCTACCTGTGATAAAAGGAATTCTTATTGCCGGGCTTCGTTGAGACCACTGAGCGAGATGTTGCACGCAATGCCGTTACGATGGGCGGAAAACCAAAGAAACGTGTCTTAATCTATTGCACTATCTATTTTGGATATGTATAATTAATATGTCTATATTTATATAGATTCCGTAAGGTTTGTGGTCCTCATAGAGACCATTTCATTGAAAGGCAGCAGTGCTCATGATTTACTGTTAGCACAGTGTTACACAATTTTAGTAAATATTCTAGGCAGGGATGGAAAATTAAATGTTAAAGTTTTACCTGATTTGCGGAAAAATTTATATTTTAAAGCAAATACAAGTACGACACTATATCTAATTTTTGTATCCACATTAAACAAATACGGTCGGTGATATGCTCATCACTTTGCTTCGCACTCTACTATATTTTTTCCTTAGTATTTACGTTACATATGTCGAAAAAAGTCACCTGGATTCGAGAATTACCCATGACACTGACATATTAGAATGTCACATCCGCATACTACTTAGTTAGACAAAATAAATCAGTAAGCAATGAAAGCCAATGAACATCTTACAACTAGCAAATACACATCGTCATTTAAAGTACAAAGCCGCGTATTGCCAATCTGCAAAACCACGTAACTGACATTTGCTGACAAAAATTGGATTTGTTCACACAAGCCCTTGGCTCAATCCTTATCCATTCGTCCTGAAATATACTAGCCAGAAATGCGATTGCTTTATAAAAAAGAGAACCATTTTGGAATATGAGTGTTTTTACTATCTAGAAAATAATTTATGCAATCTCACATACGCGGTTTTGCGTTTGTTGATACGCGGTTTTGTACTTTAAACGAAATTGAAAAATAACACGAAATAAAAAAAACATTTTTTTAATAAACAAGCCACTTCTGGTAGAGTACATACATATGTAACTAATAACACCTACAGATATAAATATGTAAATATATTCAGTAGGGTGGTACTTAAAATATCAACATCGAAATTTTTTAAGGCGCACGCACCCCTTTATTTTGTTTCACGTACAAAATAAAGGCATTCGCGAAATTTTAAAAATTTTAAATAAACTTTAAGGTTGTAACAAAATTTTAACTTTTTTTACATTGCAAAAATTTTACAAAAGTTTTACTCAGGGCAGCTTTGACTTAGCGTCCCTACTTACTCATATAATTTCATAAACTCGCAGTGTTATTGCTGGTTAAAGTCAAATTCTTGTCGAATTTTTGCGATTTAAAAAAAAAACTTTCAAACCCTAATAACGAGCTTCTTTGTTTCAAATTTTTAAATTTTCAAGAATGTCTTTAATTTATACGTAGAACAAAATAAAACGTTACGCCATGATGTTTCTATTTGAAGGACGGCCCTAATATACATAGATATAAATTTATACCACATTTACTCATATAATTACATATAAGTATATACCTACTTTCGGCGCATCTCTAGTGCAAATTATTGTGCTAAATGCATTTGAAACTTAGGGCAGAAATTTTATTACAGATACAACTATGTAGACGTATTGATTTTTTATAGACCACTGCCTTAAAGTGTAGTTAATTTATAATTCACGTGTAATTTATGTGGGATTTTTTTTTTTAAGTTGATAGGTAAAACACACTAGTACAATTAAAACATTTACTTAAGGCTAAACGACAAATATACATTGATTGCTTCGGCGAAATGCAATAATCTGCAAATTAGCTTGAAAAAGCATTAATTCATAAGCACAAAGTTGTACTAGACACTAAAAATCTGTTATGTTATACCTCTGTAAATTCATATTTTCATGGCATGTATGCATAAGTAAACATTAATTGGCATTTCCGGTACGAAATAATTAAATACAGAATGTTGTAATTATTTGCACATATAAAACACATGAAGTATAGATACGGTGACCATTTGTACCGATTTTGGAGGGATAGTGGCGATTTTGAGAAAATTGTCCCGCTGAATATTTTTTAAAAGTCGGGACGTATAAGTGTCCCGATTTTCATATTTCTACCGGTTGAATCCCGATTTTCAGTGTTTTCTTTATTAATTTAACAAGAGTCTTCGTGTATTGTGGCTCAAAAACCAGTTTTACTACTAACGTTTCATTATAACAAAGAACATACTAATGGCCTTATTCATAAAAAATATAGTAGCTTTATAAAAGGTTTATAAATTGAAAAATGTATGAAAACGTCAATTTATAAAGCTCTTTAAACCTACTTTATTTTTTATGAATAAGGCCATTAGAATATAGGGGAGCCTTATTTTCTATGATCCTTGGTTATATTTTATTTTGTTAAACTGGTACTCTCGCTATATTTCATTCTTGGAAAAAAAATTGCCTAAGTTGTTTTTTAGATTTTTTTTTTGTTTTTTTTTTTTTAATGAACCTGAATTTAGTGACATTGTAAAAAATAATACTAATTCCCTCAAAACATTCATGGATATGAAAAATATAAGCTGTAGATACAGTGGCAAAAATACAAATATGAAAGAGACAGTTTAGCATTTTTTGGCTATTCCCCTTTCGATTTCTTAATGTTTATTATTTTTTTATGAAAGTGTAGCTCGTTATATTACGAAAATCCTGTACATATGTATGTACATCAAACTTTGTGCAAATTTAACCAAATTTGACAAAGTTTCATCAAAATTTTGAGCTTTTTAATTAAAATTCTTAGAACCATTCTGAGTATGCAGTTTTGTAGCCCATTCAATTTTAGTGGTGTAAAATTTAAGTAGTGGCACATTGTATGCATACAAAAAAATTGTCAAACATACTTTGTATGGAAGAAAATGCGCGAAGAACAAATTGCCTCAACGGTAAGTCCAAGCTACTTCGAACTTGCATTTTTTATACTAAACTTTATTGGGCTGCAAACCTGCATGAT